GATATATCGTGTCAATCACGAATCCCGCTCGTGAAACTGACTTTTTTATCTCCACCAAAATCTGTCATAAATCTTAAAAATCTTCATAGGAAAAACATAATTCAAATTCAAATCCGTTGCAAAGGTTCGTGGCCGATGAAAGGTCTTGCAGATCATCATCTCACCAGTTTGTCTGCTTTTTCGTTACCCAAAACTTTTTTATGCCCTGGCACCCAAGATACCAAGGTTGTTTTGTTTTCCCAGTTTTTTGAAATTTTGGATGTATGCAGTGACAAGTTTTGATGTGATTTTTTTACATGCTAATGCTTTAAAAGCTGAACGGCTATCAGATCTTATGAGGATTTTTTTGCCAATGTAACTTTTAACATTTTCTAAGGCACAAACTTTGATGGCTCGAAAGACCTAATGAATTTGATTGCTCATATTTTCGGCATGCACAAAAAAAAACCTCCTTTTTCTTAGGTGGTTTTGGAGCCATCTGCATACAATATCATTGTATGTGATGCTCTCCTGAGTTCAACCTATCCTTTATAGCTTGTAGAGACATACATTCAGTACCCATTTCTAAGAATGGTTGTCGGATTTTATTGAGCCCTGGAGACGTGGGTACAGTGAAAAAAAATTTAACTTCAGATTCAGATTCTACGTAAAAAATTTATGAAATGACCAGTCCTATTTCTTTCTATTATTTTAAAAAAAGAAATAAAAAGGGGTAGTTTATAAATAATCACCCAGTATGTTGAAAAATATGCTTAAAATACAAATATATCCAAATAGTACGCATATATCAAAACTTTGATACATCCTTTTGAAAAAATAGCAATAAAATCTGGTGAAATTTTTATTTCAATATAAGACATAAATCGTAATGAACATCCCAAAATCTTGAAATAAAATTCTAACTTAGGATAGGCTTTATATTGTTTCTACGCAAGTGAGCGTATGCAACCACGCTGTATATTTTCCTACATAAGATTTAACTTGTGACATCAACGGTTCGTTATATGATCTCTCTAATTGGCACTCCCACTCAATCTGTACCTTGTACCTTGTTTACTGTGGCTTGCTCAGAGAAGTTCCAATTATACAGACGTCATATTATGGATCATAATAGTACCGGTGCAAATCACTTTCTGACAATTTGAAATTTGACGGTTATTCATGACTTTCAAACTGCACTCCATATTCCAGCTACATTCTACTGGATTGAAAATAATATATTCTGAACAGTTAGCAAGTAAGAACTTGTGCTCTAGAAATCCGTTAGGGTAGTTCGTTTCGAACTGAGAAAAACCACGAATCACATAATCGATCGACTACACCAGTTAAAATAATTGATTTAAAAAGTTAACGAACACTGACATTTATTCACAATTAAATTAAAATGTGAAAACATATAGCATCAGCTCCTAGATAAGTACATTATATTTTACTAAAAAATATATTAATAGCAGTTTTCTTTCTAATTTTCCGTACAACTGATTTTTTAAATGAGTTATTACAAATAGGGAACGGATTTCTATTTATTGCGCATTTCGTTTGCTTTCACTCGTATTTAGAACCATTATAGGGGACGTAATTAAATGTAGTAATGTTTTAGATACATTTTTAAAGGGTTTCTTGTATGAATTAAAAAGAAATAAGACTCATGAATCCTAAAAATAAAAACACGTTTAATTCACCAACAATCAATAACATATGATTTAACGTTTTATAAAGGCTAAGGTTTTGGTTGAAATGAAAAAGTTAGTGTCATGAGCGGGATTCGAACCCAATACGCCGCTGCTCTAGCCACTTCAGCTACAACCTTTTGAATTTTCCCTCCTTTTTGCCACTTTTCAAATGTCGTGTTCTCAGTGAAGATATACTTCGTTTTTCTTATTGAATTCATTATATTTTGTGGTCTATTGACGTTGTTTTTTAAATCCTTAAACTTCTTTTTAAAACCTTTCTAACTTATTAAATAATATGATTAATTAAGGTTTTTAGTTGAGATGAAAAAGTCAATGGCACGAGCAGGATTCGAACCCACGATCTTCGGCTTGATAAGCCGCTGCTCTACCACTTTAGCTATCGTGACCTCGATCCGCTCGGACACCAGCTTCCAATCTCAACCGCACCTTTTGAATTTTCCCTCCTTTTTGCCACTTTTCAAATGTCGTGTTCTCAGTGAAGATATAAATTCATTATATTTTGTGGTCTATTGACGTTGTTTTTTAAATCCTTAAACTTCTTTTTAAAACCTGTCTAACTTATTAAATAATCTCTCTCGGTCAGGTGTGATGTAGGTTTCAGAAAAACATTTTCTTTATCGTGCCAACGTTTCGATCTTTATTGAGATCATCTTCAGGGCCTGGGATTTACAAACATTCTTTACATTTAGGATGTGGAAAAGTTAATTTATACAATGCAAAATATATTTTTTATATTCATTCAAAGTATTTCTACTCACTCAAAGTGTTTGTCTTCTGTGTAATTGTGCCATCCTTGCGTGTCGTGTTGAGAGTGCCAGTGAGATTTTGCTGTTTTAATCTCACAAGGTTGGAATCAAGAAGAAATTATTCAAAATCTTAAATTCATGGATTGAAGGTGTTGCGTAGTGGTTCGAAAGATTTTAAGGAAATTGAGAACGACAAGAATAAAACGTTCTTAGAAAATTAATACCATGATCAATTTTTTAAGTTGGTTACATTCCCTTTCACAAAAGGTAAATTAAAAGAAGTAACTTTGTCAATTGAACACTAAAACGTAAAAGTATTAATAATATTTTACTTTTAATTTTATGAGGAGTAAGTTACCCATTGTTATCTGAGAATTATTGTGTTACTTATTATTTATTAATTATAAACGTAATTACTTTTAGAGCCCTGATGAAGACCTCAATAAAGGTTGAAAGCTTGGCATAAGTTACAAAACTTACTTGATTCGATGGGCGCATCCCTGATCTCGAACTTACTGGTGATAACCTGACGGTCGATTCCTTCTTCCTTCGGTATTACACTTCCACCTTGTTATTTTAACGGAATTTCATTACCATTGGTTCAACACTTACGTTACTTGAGACTTCACGTGGAAAAAATGATTTTCTTGAGATCACAAGACACACAAGATTGAAACGAAACGTACCAAACAGTCGTTACAAACCGTTTCTGCTACTACGCGCAACTGCTTTAAACTTTCACTTAACCTCAGAACATTGATATATGCCATGGTTCTCAAACAAGTTATACAACCATCTTGAACACCAACACAATTTCGACTTCAAAAACCCAAAATATTACACACAGAACAAAACAAACATAAACGTAATTTCTTAGAAATGGTTTATATCAACAGAGATAAACACAGCATCAATTACAGAACAGATACATGTAAACTCAGTCGCAGCTACGCCAATATCATTAATCAAATTCAATACAGATAACATACCTATATCATCACATTACATTCCACACATCAAATATTTTTCACATAGTCTAATTTCCCAACAATTTAGCTTTCCTTTTCCTATTTATCCCTTTCTATATAATCCTGAAAGGATAATCTGGCCGAACCATTACCAACACATTTTTTCCCTTCGTCGGCTCTTTTCACCTCAAAGAAGCCGACGCCTTATACAAAAATGTCTTTTCTATACCGACATCCTTCCCCACCCCTTCAAAATCCAACGTATATAAACACAAAATAGCAAAATCTCACTGGCACTCTCGACACGACACGCAAGAATGACACAATTACACAGAAGTCAAACACTTTGAGTGAGTAGAAATACTTTGATTGAATATATAAAATATATTTTGCATTGCATAAATTCACTTTTCCATATCCAAAATGTATTTGTTAAATGTAAACATTGTTTGTAAATCCCAGACCCTGAAGATGATCTCATTAATGATCGAAACGTTGGCACGATAAAGAAAATGTTTTTCTGAGACCTACATCACACCAGACCGCATCTCACGATTTCTGAATAATTACATTTTATAGCTTTCACCCACGCCTACAATTTACACATGAAATCGAAAACAACAAAACAATACCATTTTTAGATACACTCGAAATTAAATAACCAGATGGCATGTTAATCACAGATTGGTATCACCCTTCAAAATCCAACATATATAAATATAAATCATCAATATCCCACTGGCACTCTTACACAATAATGTCACATCTACACAGGAAACAAAAAGTTTGAGCCCTGAAGATGATCTCAATAAACATCGAAACGTTGGTACGATAAATAAAATGTTTTTTCTAAAAACCTACTTCACACAGATCGCATCTCACGATCTCCAAATTACCATTGGCTAACGGTCGCTAAACACCACACATTAATGATAAAACTATGGAAAAAATTTTGTATAAATGTTTTAACATGTCATTGTAAAATAGGGTAGAGTTAATTTATTATTATTGACCTACCCACTACCTTCATGAAAATGAGGGGTAGTTCAACCCCAATCATTCCGATCCTGGTTTCAAGTGTTACATATGAAATTTAATCAGTAAATGTATCCTAACAATACAGGAAGAAAAAAAGATATTTGCTTATAAGGAAGCATTATTCATGAAATTATACAGTATATTAAATATTTTCTTGACAATTTCATACATTTTAACATCACCACCTTTGATTTGTTTTTCGCGACGCCTGAAGTGGGAAACGGTTCGGCAAGATTCGAAGAAATCTCAGGGAAGTCGTATATAATTGTGTTTTGAAGGAATAACTTGCCGCCTGTCAAAGCTCGCTTGTGACAGCTTGAATTTCCTTCCTGGTAAAAAGACCGGAATGCGGAACCGGCCCGGTGACAACACCATACCAACGTTGCTCAGAGAAACGTGACAAAGGAAAACTGTTTTCATTTTCTAAACTTTACCTGTATACTTGTCACCTAGTCCATTTAATTTGTACAATTAATGATTTAATATAATTTTTTGTATAATTCTATGAAAATTTTTATAAGAGAGAAATGTTTATATGAGGTTTGTTATGTTAGTAGGTGAGCTGCCAGCAGCGATGCACCACGGAGCCAGCAGTTCGCTCTGCCCACCGATGTACATGTGGCTGACTCCGCTTCTGCTGATCGCCTACACTTCCAACGGCTAGCAGAGTCGCTTCTAAAGAAGTCTGACGAACCGGACAGAAACTCAAAACGGCCTGCGATTTCGTTCGAAAGTTTAGCCACCTTGGGACTGTTCTCTTACTCATCGCACCCTTTTGGAAAATTGTCAACTGTTCAAAGCCCAGGGTCTGTAAATAGAATGCTTTCAGAGACGCCATTTAGACTCGGAATTTTTTATTTTCGTGTCTGTCTTCAAGATCCCCTAGTCGAATATTCGAGAGGTTTGGTCGAAATACAAATTGTACAATGTAATTTTAGCTGTAAGACAAAATTTTGTGTTGATGTTTTATCCAAAAACTAAAATAATTTTTCGAGTGAAATATAAAATAAATCCGAATGAACATAGGCCTGTGAAAAAAAAGTGCCATGTTCAAATCTTCACTTAGAGCAGATTTAATCCAAATATTTCAATGAGCAAATGCACACTTCTCCATTTCAGCATAGACAGAGCACCGAATTCGGGATTTTAAAAATAACAAAATACATAACCGGTGGACGGGTAAAAGATTTTGTGCAAAATACGTTTTTTACAAAGAAACATCATAAAGTATAGATTTGATAACATTAAAACTTATAAATCAACTCAATAAAACATCAACTTATTTGGAACATAAGTGACAACTCTTGGATTTGCTTAAAGTGGTTAAAACTCCCTGCCTTTGGATTTCTATTTACAAAAAAAAATTATTTCGTTCAAAACCAAGAGAAAAAAATAGTGTTTTAGACAAAATGGCGGTAATCAAGAGGGAGGCTAAACGAACCTATTTTAATCTCTTTACGTTCTACAGATACACCCCACCTGGTTCTTAATATTTATTTATTTTGAAATTTTTATTTTCAATTTTTGTTAATGTTATGGAATTAAATCATAATAACTTCTAGAAAGTTACCTTACATTATGGATGCAATATTAAAATAATTATTGCCTTAATGTGAGGACTTGGTTGGATTAAATAAAGGATCTATCATCTCGTGTAAGAAATTAAATTTTAATTAACGACTTTCCTGACGTTTATGTCAAAGAGAAAAAAACTATCATGACGATAATGGCATGGTTATGGAGGAATACGATTTTTTAAAATTGATTTTTACATCTGTGTAACAATTACAACAGTAAATATGCTGTAAAAGTGCAACAATTGATATAAAAAACATCTGATAAGAACTCAGGGTGAAACAAGGGTGGATTCCAAGAAAGAAATAATGAGTTAATTTTTTCAATTTTCTTTGTCACTACGTAGGGAATCAAGTGGCCATCGGTGTTTCAGTCGCCGTGGAGGATTATCCGGCATGGTATTAGAACTTAGCTATCGGACCCAAAGTATTGGGATATGTGGAAAGATTTTGATGGATTTTTCGGTAATAGGTTTTCGCTACTTATGTAACGAAGAGAATATTAAGGTCTCGGTGTAGGGTGAAGTTTCATAGATAATAAGGATGGTTAACAATTTTTCATAGGACTATTGGGATCTTTAGACGCGTTGGCAGTTCGAATGCTTGGTCGACACCATATGTCAACACAGGTTTGAGAATCATGGTATCAATTTTTTGTAGTTAAGTGGAAGTTTTGATTGACTGACGAGCAGTGAATTAATTAATTAAGCGCTTACAGTGTGTAATGTCTGTTTAGTTCGTTCCGTTATAATATTGTGTTCGGGATTTCAAGAAATTTTGTCCAGTTGAAGTCAGTCGCAAGTAGTACGTGTTAGACAGGCGGTAGTGTAACACGTCTGAGTGTGAGGTTAAGGTATTGCCTGTTTGTAGCGTTTTTTTTTCTTTTTTTTTGACCGGGGTTCCGACATCTAGGTCATTTCAGCCCCCAACTAAGTCTATATTCTATTTACCCTTTCAAACACTACATTCATACAAATAAATACATCCATACGGTACACTCATTCCGTCTGGTCGGTGGAGTACTTGATATTCCTCCACCGACCTATATTTAAACTAATCTAGATTGGGGGTCGATGGAGTACTTTTAAAAATAATCCGCCATCGACCCCGAACACACACTCTTACGCTTTCAACGTTCGAAGGGTTATATTTCACCCTCACCCCTCGCCATTCACGCTAATAAATACATGCACTCAGATAAAACATATAGACACAACACATAAGACATATTATATACAATAAAAAACCCCAATTTCTCCTAATAAGCGGAACAGGGGACTCTGAAACTCGAGAGTGTTCGAGAACTCTTCTTAAGTCCGGCGGGATGCCTACACGCTCTCTGTATGGAGCCAAGGCATGACACGCCTCTATTATGTGGGACACATCGAGCAACCTTTCTCTGCATAAGGGGCACCTGCGCGGGCTTTGGCCCAGAAGCAGGTGCCCATGTGTCAACCGCATACGGCCAATCCTCAGTCGGGTGAGGACGATCCCTCGTCTTCTGCTGTTTAATTTACTTCTCCACTTTTTTGATCAAACTTTGAAGTACTGCAAATAGTTTTGAACCTTTCTGTATTCTGCGTCTGTATCGTCGCCTTTATCTTGCTGGGAAAGAATTGCTGTATCGCCCGAAAAAGCGGAGTTGTTCCTCGAAAGATGTGAGCCGTATAACGTTCAATAATGCAGTAGGTACTGGCTAGATGCTGGGTAGGATGATCACTAGACCAGGAGGCCAAATACTCTTAAGTATTGGATAAAGATGCCAGCTTGGATATGATAGATCAAGGACATTGCTGTACCTTGGTCTAACTCTGCCGGTCAGACAAGTGCGATTTTAGAATTAGGTAGTGTGTACTGGGTAGGATCCCTTGCGCTTCCGCCGGAGGCCCAAGAGTCAAACCCTGTCAAAACCTTGCAAATATCAATAAATCAAATCAATATCAAAAGCAATATCAAGGCACTCGGACAACCCAGTTGCTCAAGGGAGGGTGAAAACCCGTTGTCAACGCGAAGGTATTGATGGATGGTAAGGAGTAGGGTCCTAAATCTACTCTGATGATTAGGATTAATTTCTTGGGATAAGAGTAAAGTCGTTTTAATAGAAGTTTCTCGAGAATATTATTGATTAGAGGAAGAGTATTGATAGGATATGAAGGAAGAGTGGTTTTGTTGGTTTGTGGAAAGGAAATATAGTAGGAAATTTTCAAATGGCATGAAAATAAGTTGTTCACAGTACGGAATTAAAATATATAATATTAAAATATATTTTGTTTTTCGGCGTATGATCTACATTTGTCTTTTCTTTTAAATAGGATACGTTTTAATTTGGTGATTTTTGTTGACCATGTTGAAGGACAAGATAACAAATGTGCATAACTTTTTGTTTGTCTGTGATTTGCGATGTTTAGTCGCGTAAAGGTTTGTTTTATCTTAAACAAGTAAAAACTGACTGTTAGTTTTTTCTAAAACCAAATTATTTATTGAATTATTGCGCTTTAATTAAATTTAGTCATCAAAAAGTTTCAAAAATTTGGTGTTGGTTGTACCCCAGAAGTGAAATTTGTTCACGTGTCACTTGGTGAAAGGAGGGTAAATCTTAGTTTTCAATATTAGACTACTAATCGTTTAAATTAAAAACTAGTTGTTACAAGATTCAACTAAAGTGAGTAAAGTAACATAAATCGACTGGCTTTAATCATTTTAAGCATAAACCACGCCCATCACCCCACATCGTTGTTATAACTAATCCAATTTAACTATCCCTCCGAAAGGGATTTAGGCCGTGATTAAACGTGTTTTTAATTAACTTGTTGATTTCTCAGAGTGCTTCGATAAGAAATTTGGAGCAATTAGGCCCAAATAAACGTCCCTCAGTGAATTTGGAAAGTTACCTAGAACTTATCAAGAAGATAGACACTGTTTAAGTTTTAGTCCATTGCCGACTTTCCGAGCGAGATGGTCGGGCAACAGCGAAGTTGTTCATCCCAGTGAATTGCATTTCTAACGCCTTCTAACTCAATTGCTTAGTTAACGTTCTATCACAATTGCAAAAGTTTGTTTAGATAAAAAAAAACTTTTTCAACAGAGTGACCTCTTAAAAATCTAATCTAGTCAAATGCCGTTTTGTTCCAAAATAGTTTTATAAATTTTTTGTTAAAATACCTAGGTAATTTTGCAGTTATTAATTTACAAAAAAATATTTCATATTAATTTTACACAGATTGTTATATACACAATACTAAAATATTGGTTTCACCCCCTGGGGTTCTTGGTTGTTCAAACTGAAGTGTAGAAAGCTTGGTCCTCTTCAGTAGTCTCAGGGTAGGTTGTTGTAACCGGTTTGTTTTGATATTTGAATTTCCTTGGCGAAAATATGTAATGCTTTTTGACATATCGTACGAACCTAAAATACCTTTAATCCATCCGCTGGATTTTTTATAGAATTTCAATGTTATTTTTTACTCAATCCAACAATAAACTGCAGTAGATACAGATCGGTTTAAGAATTCAACTATAAATGTTATTTTCTTCTCTATTCACAGGTAGAATTTTCATCAAAAAGCCATTACGTTTGTCTGTACATTAATTATCGTCTCTTTTTTTATGTGTTCTTTATTTTAGTTTCCTAGACTCTTCAGGGTGATATTTTTCGGTAATTTTCCATTTTTACCTGTGATTTTCCTTTTTATAAAATTAATTTCACAACATTTAATTCCCGTCAAAACAGTTTAGCGAACTTTACAATTTTCTTGTCGACGCTTCAATAATATCTAATACTGAAAGATCTGCGGTATCATTCTTAAATTCTGCTGTGGTTGTGTTTTCTGTTGATCCCTGGAATAAATCAAAAAAAGAATTCGTCCTATGACGCTACCCTGAAATACACCGCATTTATTTATAAAAATTTCGGAGTATTCCACTATTTGTTTTTCTCAGAATAATCACTAGATTAACAACTCGATTGGTAAATCTTAGTCCGAAAAAGCAATAAATTTGTCTAAATTTAAGATCCAGTTCTCTTTTTTATGTATCCCCTTCGGTTCAGTTTAGAATCTTGACTTATTCTCGTTTATTTAAATTTTTTAACCATTTGCCAATCTTTTAATCTAGTTACTCGTAATTCCTAGTTTTCTTGTCGATGTCTCAATATTATTTTTCACTGAAATACCTGTAAGGTCCTCCGCCAATGCTATTGCTGGCTTTTCTGTTGGTGTCTGGTGTAAAGCAGAAAGAGAACTGGTCCTAAGACGCTTCCATGAGAAGACCCCCATTTAATCTCAAAAGTTCGGAATACTTCCTCTGAATAATAAGACAACAGAAGCTGTATAATACTTGGAGGATTTTTTTTTTCAAGTATATGTCTTCATGCTAGACTTCCATCTGTGGTAGGTAGGATACTACTTTCCAATGGGGGGAACTATCTTTTGGATATTTTATTTGAAAACCAGATGGTTTATTGTAAAATTTAAGTAAGAAGCTTTATTGTTTTTATTATTATTTTCTTGAAGAGTTCTGAATCTTAGTTGCGAAAAAATTTAACCAAATCATAATCCATTTTGTTTTGTACAAAATAATTTTATAATAAACTATATGTTTAATTAACTAATTAGTAAAAATAACATTTTATGCTAATTTAAAAATAATTGTAGAATACTAAGGGGAACGAACGTGTTTTAACAATTAAACAAAGGACCGCCTACACGAAAGAAAATAAAAATAATTTATTTTGAATAAAGATTAACCCAAGCAGAGAAATTAATTGCAGGGATCCCAAAGGCAATATCCAAGAGCGACTTGAGCATAACTTTCAACTCGTTTTTATTTATTTTTCCCTTTTTTCTTTTTTCTCTACAGAACAGCCTTTTAGGCAATAAACGTGAAATACACTTACATAGAGTGAAATCCTGTAATTAATTTTGAGCCTCAGTTAAATAAGACACCTAAGTTCAAAACGATTATTTACTTTTTGATCTTTTTTTATGTATCAAATTAAAGACTTTCTTTGGCATGTATTTTAAAACAAACCTTGAACGAGAAATATACTGTCTTCTATTTATTAACTTCTACTAATCAAGTTGTATTTATTTTATTTTATTACTGATCAAAAATGTGTTTTATCAAAAAAATACATGGAAAATCTGCTTATTTAAAAATTAATAAATGTCTCATAATGACAGTAATTTTACTAAAAAAAAGTACATATCGTTATATTTTGTGTTTGATGGTGTAAATATTATGGTATGCTTTTTGTCATACTTAAACTTACTTCATTGAAGAAAATTTGAACCAAATTTGTACAGTTTAAAGCCAATTAATAAACACTTATTGATGTAATGTTATATAATTAATTCTTATAAAAAAAACTTGATATTTAAAACAAATGGATTTTATAAATACAAGCTTAGTTTTATATAATCGAAAAGAAAAAAAAAGATATGACGAACATGTGAAGATGGACGAATCCGTATGATTTAAGTGGCGTTTTGCAATTTTCTGAGAAATGTCTGCATTTCCCATGTTGATGGTGTACATTGGTATTAAGGCTTTAGTTGTATGGCGAATCGAATGGTCAAACAGCACAAGTTATAAAACTAAATTTAAATAATGACAAGTGGAAGAGAAAGGAATATAGACGTTTAAGAGATAAATGGTGTTATAACTATTTTATCGTTAAAAAAAATTAATATGTAACAAACCAGGATATTTATAATTGTTAATAATTATATTTCTAATTATTAATGATTGTTTATTGCAAAATATGCATGTAGTGTTATTTGTTTTATATTTTGCCGTAATATTGTACAGGGTTTATTGTTTTTAAATAGAGTAATCTAAATAAAGGTGTTATACACAAATGTCCTTTGTAAATAGTGAGTAAGGTGTCCGTTATGTATATTTGGTTTATGAACACAA